GCCATGTCTTGATGACGGCGCTGAGGACCATCTTGACCGGGCTCCGCCGCACTCGGTCGTACCATTTCGTGGCCCTGATACAGAACTCGACAATCTGTACATAGACGTTGGCCAGTGTGGCCTATATCCTCTAGGTGGGATATAGGCTCTGCGAGACAAACTCGACTTCGGGGAGCACGCTGCCTATTTCTGTCAAGGCCTGGGCAATTTTGCTGGACAGCTCCTCATGGTTCAGTGTGACTGTGAAGAGAAATCTCATGGCGCCCCAAATAAGGGCTGAATACTCGGGATTTGATGACACGAGGGTGTCGATGACCTTTTCGTACTGCATCAATCTTGCTGCCGCAAGCTTCCACCACGAAGTCACCGTTGCTGCGGGTTTCCATCTCTTGAGTTTCTTGTCTTTGTACATTTTCTGGGTCTCGGCGAGGACGTCCAAAACATCTTGCATGGATGACGTTTTCGACAGCCATGTGTTTGCTTCACCCCGTGCAAACTCATGTCGGTGGAATTCAAGCGCGTGGCTATATGCCAGTTTCACCACATCCACAGGCAATGCCCTATTTCAGTTAGCGATAACACGATTCTCATCACAATTGGGGCAGATGGGTCCCTTACTCCGTATCTTGGCTGCCAGACATGTACCACGCGGCGAGGCTGTTATCGACATGGCTCACGCGGATAGGTTGAAGTGGGCGGGAAGCCACTGCGACCACCGTGGTGTGGAGCATTGTGGTCATCGTCGACATGTTTGCCGCACCATCCCACGACGAAAGAGATCAGATTGGGAGAATAGACGAAACTTCAGGATTCACTGCTTCGCTAACAGAAGTCATCAATAAGCCCTGACGGGGAAAGGTGGAGAGGTCTTGTAAAGCTGGGTTTGTACCTACAGGTAGCTCTGTGAAGTCAGACAGCCAGCCTGGAGGGAGGGGAACTTGCGATGAATTGCCCTGTTTATTTAGTCTGGGATGGGGGCTGTGTTGGGCAACTCAAGTCATTCTCACCGACTGAGGCAGTCTGCCTTGGGGGCCAAGGAGAGATCAAGAGCAACCTTAATCAGCTGAATAGGTACCTGTAAGGTAGGTAAGGTAGTTCCGAAACAGTGAAGTTGGCGGTGCCTGAGGTGCCTGGAAAACGTATAGGACTGTACGGAGTAGGTGCTATCCCCGCAGCATGGGGGACTCGTACTTGCGTTCTCTTCAGGAGGCAGCCCAGAGCCTGATTGGCTAATGCACCGTGCCTTCCGGCCGCAGCATCACGACGACCCTGGACGACCGATCTGAACTGTAGGTGGGTGTGATGGCCCCGCCGCTTTAAGACGGCATCCTTTCGGCTCGGGGACTCGGTTCCTTCGAGACAGCCTTATTTTAACAAAATACCTAAGGTATCTTACACCTGGTAATGGCTAACGCGATTTCTCATTGAAGACTGTGTCTTTGCGTCCAATTCTATTAGAGACCAGGGGGTTTATTCGAGACCCTCTGTTCTCCACGACTTGCGCCAAAGGCTCTCGCACTCTGCTACGTTTCAATCAGTGCTCACAACATGCCATCACGCCGTCAAAACCCCCGAGGGAATGACAGGATGAGCGACCCAGAGGATACCGACAAGGTTCCTGAAATTAGTGTTGATGTTGACACCGACGATGACACCGACGAGACTATTGCACGGCTCAAGGGTATGCGTGGAACCATTTCGCAGGACCACAGCGAATGGACGGAGGAGGATGAATTCATATCTCTCATGTCAGGAAGAAAAACCGACGACGACGATGGTGGTTCGGACAAGAAGAAAGAGGGAGATATCAAGGAGATGGATGACGAAGGTGGCCATGATATTCCGCCTCAGGAGGAGGTCGATGTTGACGTTACAAATCATGCAACCGCTGAATGTAGGCATTTTACGCCCTTACAAGCCGACGAGATCACTGAACTAAATTTGTGTTCAGCTGATCTGGATCATGCCGGCGAGGGCGAGCGCGATATCGGTCAATTGACCACACAAATCCAACGAAAGTTGGCCAGCATCCCCGGACTGAGTCTTCCCGAGGACGGTCCCAACTACCAATTGATCGAATACCTCAGCAAAACAGTCGCGAGGTTATCCTTTGAGAACGACATGCTCAAGAATGCGCTCCGAAACGCTGAAAAGCCACAATCCGCAAAAGGAGCCGCGGAGGAGTCGAAAGAGCAAAAGGCTGAAGATCCTGACGAGACAGATGACCCTAGCACTCCAGTATTCAGAGAGTATCACCACGTCAGGTGCGCCAATTCAAAGAGCAACTACTTCAGAGACGTACCAAGGATGTTCAAGGGAGATCTCAAGTCTGACCACTTGCGAGGCCGGCAAGGCATCGAAAACATATCAACGTATCTCAAAAAGCGCACACACCTCGCCTTCGCTGTCGTTCACCTATATGATTGCTCGTGCGCTGGTGGTCCTGACTATCATCGTATGGTAGGCTACAAAGATGGAAAGATAATCGACAACTCGCCACCAGCCTTTAGTGAAATGAAGCAAGTTGTGCTCAACAAAGCACTTCACAATGCATTCCGTCTCCTGGGGAGGGCTCATCCTACGCGCTTCAGAGGATACATGGAGAATTTTCAGGAGCTCCACGAGGAACCCTACCCTCCCTTCTTCGTTCACAACAAAGCATTCCTTGAGGTCGCCGACTCCAGCAACCTAAGTGACTTTGATTGTCAGAGCGTCAAGCTCCTTTGCAACTGGTTTGAGCAGAACTCACGAAAGAGCTGGGAGGAGGCTGATGAGCTTATGTCTCGAGGGAGGATCACATTCAAGCATTACGGCATGCTATTTCGTGCCGGCGAGTTGATCATCATTCCAAGACGAGACCAAGGAGGCACGATTTCTGTCTACAAGGTTAAGCCTTTCCCATGGCAAGAGTACCCAGAAAAGATGTTCCTCGAATACTGGGAATTCAACGGCGCTTTCTGGAAGTCCAGTGCATGGGTAGACTTGAAGAAGCCACACACAGTTTATGGAGACTACATCACTGAGCATGACGGCGAAGTAGATATCACCAAGCTCGGAATCCACCCTCTGCGCTTCGCCAAAGCTGGCACGTACGAAAAATTAACGGCAAGGGGTGAAAAGTTCTGGCGCTGCAGGAAAAAGAAACTCGTTTGCTACACGGACTCGGACCTGGGAGACGATATTGCGAAACCGGTAGGTCTTCCCAGCCGAGAAACATGTCTGTTACCCTCCGCGAGGCTAATGACGATGCTTTGAATTGGTGGCAGACTGAACAACGGTTCATGGTCGACTACAGCATGTTCAAGAGGATGCATCCAAAAAAAGAAATGTTCAAACATGCCGCAGATGACTTGGGTATCCATGCGATGCGCAAACAAGAGCCACCAAGCGACGAGTTTCTTGCCATGCTGCCAGCACAGCTCCACGCCTTTGATTTCACCAGTAAAATATGGAGTGAGAATTCCCCAACCCCAAACAATGCAATTGTCATGTCAACCCTTTGACTGTGGAACACTACCTAAATTGCCACCACAGGACTCATCAGCGTCGAAAATATTACCGACGTAACGTGGAATAAAGACGCCTTCAAACGCCTTGTTGTGCCGGGTGAAACCAAAGAGCTGATCCAGGCGGCGGTGACGGCCCACGGACATCACCTCAGTGCGGCACCAGACATCATCGCAGACAAGGGTCAGGGCCTTCTCATTTTACTCCATGGAGGACCTGGGACCGGTAAGACGTTGACGGCAGAAAGTATTGCCGAGACACAGGAGCGGCCTCTGTATAGAGTCACCTGTGGGGATATTGGTGTTGAGCCTTCGGATGTCGAGATGGTAAGCGTCACATCTTCACACGACAGTTTATTGGGTGTATTTTCACTGACTGAGGCTAGTATCTCCTAGCGGTCCTCGAAATCGGCAAAGCCTGGGGTTGCGGTGAGTCTCGAATACTTCCGATGGACGAAACTGGCACTAACTAGGATGTATCAAAAGTGGTCCTCCTGGACGAGGCAGACGTTTTTCTGGAGGAACGGAACGTGGCAGACCAGAAGCAAAATGCCATTGTCTCGGGTACGCCGCTCTTTTACTCAGATCTCCCTCTCGCTGCTTGATACGCACCTGTAATACTAGCACAACTAACCACATAACCTCCCGACGCTGAAACCAGTCTTCCTCCGGGCTCTCGAGGACTATGACGGCATTTTCATTCTGACCACCAACCGCGTCGGCACCTTTGACGAGGCGTTCAAGAGCCGTATTCATTTAGCAATCCGGTACACCCATCTCGACGAGGAACAGCGTGTCGAGATTTGGCAGAATTTTATCCACATGCTCGCCAAGACCAAAGAACGTGTCGATATCCATGATTTGGAGCTCAACGTCAACAAGCTGGCTCAGGTCGAGCTGAACGGACGCCAGATTCGTAATGTGATCACGCTGGCGAGATACCTGGCTAAGTTCCGGAAGCAGATGTTGGTCTACAAGCATGTTCAGGATGCGTTTGCCTCGGTGGTCAAGTTTGATGAGTACCTGCTGCAGCTGAGGGGATCAGATGACCGGTGGGCTACGGAGTCGAAGATTCGGTAGGCGTGGAGTGTACATGAGGAAGGACTGGGGATTTTTAATTTATATTCTTTCTTGGGATATGCAGAATCTTTTTTATATACGCAGTTATCTGGGTTGAAGAAGGGCTGTAGGGATGGAGGACGTGGCATGGTCCTTTGCTGCGTAATGAGGTAGGTAAACATGAAGTTTAAGAAGCGGTGTCAAAGACTGAAAAGAGACAAAGTCGAAATCATATTAGCTGCTTGAATGTAGATGCTTGACTTTGAATGAAAGTGAATCGTATGGTAAGTAACCCGTGATATTTATTTGACCAAGAAAAGGGGAGAGGGTTGGCGCAGACTCAGGGGTTGATTGCTCGGTGGCTTATCCCGGCACTGGGGGTTGAGCGTACATGGAGTGGGATAAGCGGACAGGCTTTCAACGAATTAACAAACTGGCTGGGTGGCCGAGCGGTCTAAGGCGGTAGACTCAAGAAAATGCACTTTCTTCCTCGCAGAAATGTGAGGATCGATTTCTACTCTCGTAAGAGGCGCGCGTTCGAATCGCGCCCCAGTCATTCTTTTGCATTTCTCCCTCAAACTGCAACAGGGGAAGATATATTTTTTCTTCCCTTGGTCCCTTTCATCTTTATATGTATGCACACAAGCAAAATGATTTGTTACACCCAGCCACCATTTCCACCATGAAATCTCATTGTGCATGAAAACCTCCCAACAGACTCGTTTGCAGACGCCCGACCGAGGTCAGCGCCTTGATGGCCGGGTGGTTTCGCATGGCCACTATCCAATGACGTGTGTTCCAATTGAATCCACTATTCTCAAAAGAGACATGATCCGGCGGCGGGTCTAGGGAGGAGAAGTATCCGGCCCGGGGTGTCATGACGATGAGATGGGATGAGTATCCGGGAGGTTGGTTCAACTCGATCGATCCGCTCCTCACCTACCAGGTACCTGTGCTTGTTTGTCTTGGATGCAGTGACCTCAACCTCTTCAACTGCCACTCACCCAGCCGTCAGATCTCAATTAATTTCACTTGGCCTTATCCACTTACAAGTTTCGGGAGTGTGTTGATTGTTGAAACTTTAACTCCAAAACAAACACAATGACGGCCACGACTGATGCCCCGCGCCCTGCCGATGAGCCGCCGGCACCAGCAGCAGCATCATCAGTCGAGACCACCGATCTCAGCAAGCAATATGACACGCCCATGGGCCTCGCCCACACCACGATGCAGGCCCTCAAGGACCGCATCAAGCTGCATTACGATCTCGCGAGTGACTACTATCTGAACCTCTGGTACCTTGAACTCTACCCTAACTCCCGTCAACAACCCATAGTCAATTATACTAACGAAAACACGCAAGGGGCGAACACATCCACCACGGCTACTGGGCCACCGACGAGGCCAAAACCAACGACAGCAAAGAAGTTGCCCAGGTGAACCTCATCCGCCTGCTGCTGACCATCTCGGGCGTCGCCGAGGGCGGCCGTGTGCTGGACGTGGGCTGCGGCATCGGCGGCACCTCGCGCTTCCTGGCGTCGCAGCTGGGCTGTACCGTCACGGGAATCACCATCTCGGGCAAGCAGGTCGAGATGGCCACGCGGCTGACCAAGAATGAGGCTACTGCTGCTTCCCCCGCAGAGGAGGTTACCGTAAGTCCAGATGCCGACGGGTTCCTAGCACTAGGCAAGGGCAAAGTCCGCTTCATCGAGCTCGACGCCGAGAAGATGGGCGAGTTTTTTGTTTCGGATGCAGGGCGGTTCGATGCCGTCTGGATCAGCGAGGCGTTGAGCCACTTCCCTAACAAGGCGCTCTTTTTCAATAATGCGCACAAGGTTCTGAGGGAAGGAGGTAAGCTGGCGCTGGCGGACTGGTTCAAGGGTGAGGGTTTGGCAGACAAAGAGTTTGAGAACGATATCAAACCTATTGAAGGTCTTGTTTCCCACCCGTATTTATATATAAGTTTGGGTGGTTTGCTGATTTGCGGCACAAAAAAAAAACAGATGGCATGCTGCTGCCACCGCTCTGCACGCAGCAAGATTACGTCAAGTTTGCTACGGACGCTGGGCTGAAAGTCATCGGGGGACCCAAGGATATCAGCAAGGACGTGAGCAAGACGTGGGATATTTCGTGGTCGCTGGTCCAAAACCCTTCGCTCTGGGCATTTGCCTTCAGCCAGGGCAGGGACGGGATCGCGTTCCTGCAGGCGTTCCGGGCCATGAGGAGGGGCTATGCTAATGGTAGCTTCCGGTATGCGGTGATGGCGTTCGAGAAGTGAAGTAGCAGACGTTGGATTGGGATGGATGGTTAGAGTACTAGATTTGTCTCGTGCGCTGGAGAAGTGAGTTAGACAGACGTTAGATCGGGAGGCTCAGAGTCGATTTGTGGCTGCTACCCAAGGGCACTTCTGGCAATAAATAATAAGCGCCGTCCAAATCTTGTGCGTTTCTCTGCCTAACGTTTGTCGACATACTATCACTAGCACCGCTCGAGTCACCCAGTTTGGATCGTGAAAGTGCGAAAGCATCCTTGACAATGCGCCATTGGTCCAACACATAGAAAACGCCCAGTTCCCGGATCTCTCTTATTTTTTTGTACACTTGCACACAGATAAAACTCCTGTGGCAATGAAATTAGTGCCCGGGTGTTACCGCGTGATATCTGGCAGATATCTGGCAGGGATATCTCTTCCTCCATCCTCCTTTCTTCGCCCACCGGGGAAGCTGCTGAGTCTCCGTGTCCATGCTTTTGACCCAAGGTGCTACGGCCCCCCAACGTTGATATATAAGTTTCGTCCCATCTATCTGGCCCCGCAACTCGACCACTCGTCGCCGTCCAGGCCCTCGACTGTCCTCATTCCGTCGAGCTGGACTTATGCGCCGCCCATAAGGATGTTGTTGAGGGGGATATGGATGAGTTTTACGACGTAGCCGACGGCCTTGGGGAGTAATCGTTAGGAGCTGCTTGTTTGGATTATGTGGACGTCACTAGATAAAGGACCAACTTACACCCATGACTAATGCGTGGTTAGCGAACGTGAATTATGTAGGCAAGCTAGGGATGTAGAAACTTACTGAGAAAACCGACTCCAACCGCCTGGCGTGAAGCTGTGTGTAAGCCAACTAACTGTCGCTTTGCGCGCACAAGCACAAACGACTTACCTGGGAGATCTTGATGAATTCGCGGCGGTCAGCTGTACCGGGTGTTAGTAAACATTTCGCAGAACACCACTGCATTCGCGGAAGGAGAGCTTACGCTTCTGGGACTTGTTGATGAACTGGATTCCGTCCTTGAGAAAGTCCCGGGGGACATCGAGGATCTCTTGCACTTGGTCGGCCATTGCGAAGCAGATTCTAGTTGTACGAGTATGGTTGCAGTTGAGCGACTTGAAAAGTCTGCAGATAGCAATTCAATGGGCGAAATGTCGAGGTGTAGATGGATCGTGTGGTGTGGTTGATTTAGTTAAGAAATAGTTGTCAACGGGAAGGGCCCTACCAAATGCCACCTCGCCTCAACCACAGGGCAAGACTGGACACTCATCACGGCCAGCTGCTATGGTCCGTGCATAAGCAACTTTAACTGACGCCTCTTCCTGGGTGGAGCTGATGTACTCCGTACCCTAGGCTAGGCTGGGCTGTCCTGTGCAGTGGCACCTTCTGGCCCCGCTAGCAGTGGCCTGTTCTCCTGTCAAGACCTGGGGAGCCCAGCGAAAAAAAGAGTAAAACGCGACTGGCACCTAACTCCGGTCGCCAATAACAACCTGCGAACCACGGATCCCTTCCTTGGCTGTCAAAAATCACCAACTGGGAAACCAAAGGCAATCAATCAATCGCCTTCTGTCCATTCTTTATTTTTTGCCTCCTTCATCCGTCACAAACTAGTGAGCCATCTCCCTCCCAACTATAACCTTTCACTTTTCCCTCCAACACGCAAGCCCACATTCATCTTAACCTTTAATCGGCAATTACTAACCTCGGAAACTCAACTCTAAAAGGGAAGAAATATTTTCCCATCCGCGCGCGACACGTGTCTCGCGCATTTTAATTTGCCTGCCCTTTCCAACTTCATTTCTAACCGCATCCAAACCGAAAATCCGCACATCCAGCGCACTTCGCCCTCTAGACCCAACTAGAATCAAGTGCTACACGCAGTCGCAATGGCCACCACAGCGATGGATTACGAAAATGCTAATGTCGACCGTTTCGACGGTGAGTCCGCTCTGAATCCGCTCCCGCCGGCCGTGCTGTCACGGTCTGCAACGACTACGACTACCTCCGCCGCCGTTGTCGCGCCAGCAGCAATATCAAGACATCATCAAACTCAAGGACAAAAAGCACTAACTCTCTACTAGAAGAGCCTCCCCGCTACGACCGCGACCGTAGTGCCTCGCCGCGTCGCGATGAGGAGTCTTCACGCCGTCGCTCCATGTCCCCGAATGGCAATGATCGGTAAGTTGTTCCACCGCCGCGTCTATTTCGCCCTACGATCTCGCTCTGCATCACATGGCATTCTAATCACACAAATGCAGCGCTCCCATGAAGAACGATGGCGGCTCTAAGGGTGGTGACCGTGATGACGATGGCGCCATCAACCCTGGATCCAACCTCTTTGTCACTGGCATCCATCCCCGTCTCGAGGAAGCCGAGGTTACCCGTCTTTTCGAGAAGTACGGAGAGGTCGAGAAGTGCCAGATCATGAAGGATCCCCACACTGGTGAGTCCCGTGGCTTCGGCTTCGTCAAGATGGTCACATCCGACATGGCCGATGCCGCCAAGGAGGGCTTGCAGGGCGAGATGATTGAGGGCCGCACCTTGAGCATCGAGAAGGCTCGCCGCGCCCGTCCTCGCACGCCGACTCCCGGCAAGTACTTTGGCCCCCCCAAGCGTGGTAAGTAAAACCTTCCTTCCCCCATCTCGATTGCGCATAACTGACCCTCAATTCAGAGGGCCCTGGTGGTGACCGCCGTGGCGGTGGCCGCTTCGATGACCGTCGTCGTGGTGGATACGGCGGTGGTGGCTATGGCCGTGACGATTCGTACCGCGGTAGCGGCGGTGGATATCGCGGTGGTGGTGGTGGTGGTGGCAGCTATCGCGGCGGTGAGGATCGCGGCTCTGACCGCGGTGGATATGACCGTAGCTACGACCGCGGATACCGTGAGGATCGCGGCTACGACCGTGGCTACCGGGGTGAGGACCGCGGCTATGAACGCCGCGAGCGCGATGATACGTATGCCGGAGGTGGACGCAGTGGCATCGATCGCTATGCTGGTCGTGAGGATCGCAGCGAGCGCTACAGTGGCGGAGGCCGCGGTGGTCCGGATGATCGCCGTGCCCCTGCCTACGACCGCGGTGACCGCTACGACCGTCCCAGCGACCGTGGTGACCGCCCGCCTCGCGACGGCGCTCCTAGCGCCGGTGGCTATGGTGACTCTGCACCCCGCACCGAGTCGCGCGAGCCTTATGGTAGTACTCACTACTGATCCGCTCCTCAAGTCATGATAACTGATGCTTGTAGGATCCCGCTAATGAGGCAACCCGGCGGCCTAAAACCGATATC